GCCATAGTAAGTATCGGGATTGGTTCCCATAATCAAGAAATTTATGGTGTTAAGACAATATTGATTTTTCAAAAGTTTTCCCAAGTCTCTGCATCCTATCGTAAACTTTTCTAATAGCCCAAAATTTCAAAATGAAAGTTGTTTTCTCTGTCCAAAAATTTTTGTATGGCTCAAGAAAAGAAAGAAATTAATAGACAACAAAAATCCATTTGTAAAGACCTGACAACACATGTAATGACTCGATAAAACAAACTAAAACAACAAAATACTAGAAAACAATAAATCTAACTAGAAAACAAGGAAAAGAAAACTGTAAAGTTTCTTTCCCACACTTAAACCAAACATTATCCTCAATGTTTTAATGAAAGGTGAAAAAAAAAGGAAAGAAAGAACCTAGATAATGCTATTGCTGGAAAAATCCTCTCTGGTCTTGCTCTTTTTGTTCATGTCTTTGCTGGCCACTTCTGCTTCGGTGGCAGGCATTTTGAGATACCATGCGAAGAACGAGAAGGATTCTTCTAACATACTCATCATCAATGTCACCACAAGTAGCGACATTCGTAAGAATGTTCATGGGCACCAACTCATTTTCAAGATTGGCCTCTAGAGATTTTTCGCCTAGAAGTAGCTGAGACATGACAAGAGATACATTTCTTTATTTTCTACAAACACAAACAATAAAAGGAAAATATTAAATTAAAAGTTCGTGGGTTGCCTCCCATACAACACTTTGTTTAACGTTGATAGCTCGACGACTAATGATCGTTGGTTTCCATGGCCACTTATCAAGCCATCTTTCATATCCCTCGCCTTTTCTTTTCTTCCTTCTGTAGGGTGGTTCAGACTTCTTAACTTGTGGGGATGGTTCTGGATCTATTCTGAGTATTATCTTCTCAGGTTTGGGTTTAGTTCTTTCATACATCATCTCAAAGGTTAACTTTTCCCTCTTAACATTAATGACTTCCCTAGTTTCATGGTCTTCTGATTTTCTCTTTTTATGTAAGACTTCGGTCAAAAGTGTATTAGTATGGATATTTTCCAATTCCACAACATACATTTTGGTTTGGGAATCTATCTTAGATTCCACAAAACTTTGCGGGAGGAGAATCAGTGGGTTGTAAGGAGGACGAACAACATAAGGTGATACCTTCTCTATCTCTTTGACAATCTCCCTTTCGGGTGGTGGTGTATTTTTATTAATCTCTACTCTTTTCTCACCAAAAATTTCCCAAGCCTCATTATCACACTCCTTAGGGTTTTCAATTTTTCTTTCACTACTGGTTATTACAACATCCACATGCTCCTAAGGAAAGGGTCCTAGAGGTTTTTGTTCAAGCAGGGAGATTTGAGTCTCCAAAGCCATGTTATGAGTTGCTAGGGACTCAACCACATTGCTCAGTTGCCTAAGAGTTTCATTACTATGGAGATTTTGTTTTCTAAACTCTTCATTTTGGACAGTTTGTGTCGCTACAAAATGCTCCATCATAGATTTTAGCCTAGAGAGAGTTTGCGTCTCAAGGAAATTTTCCATTATCATTTCGAGGTAAGATTTATGAGCATTTTGTGGTTCCTCAAAATACCGGGGGTGATAATTGTAGAGAAAATGTTGGTGATACATAGTAATAGAGACAAAAGTTCCTTATTCTATGTGGTGTAACAACAGGGTACATAATTTTGACGAAGTTGGTCCCCGACAACAACACCAAATACTTGATGGGGGATTCCGCAAGTGCACGGACCTATTAAAGTAATATAAAAGATTTGTCGAACCCACAGAGACCAATTGTCAAACCTATCGTTACTAATTGTTACGTTGTTTATCTAAGGCGATTAAATTAAGAATAAGAATGATGAAGTAAATAACTTTAATAAATTCAGATGAATAACAATCCTGAAATGTAATTCACATCAATTAACAATACTATAATTGTCTCTACTAAGATTACTTATGGGGCAGTATTTCCTACTTCGAAAAGAATCAATTCAACGAGAACTGTCGCTTTCGCATATTCAGAACTGAATTTACACTCTAATTAATGCCCTCCATTGTCACTTATGGAAGGTGATTATCGCATTAAAGTAGTAAACCTATTTATAAGAAATTAAACTTTTAACTCAGTTGAAAAGTGATTTTGATTGGAAATTCTAACTTAAAAGGGGTTTTGGCTTTCGCTCAAGGAACCAGATCTTAAACCTATAAATGGAGCGCTTTCGTAAATAGTTTTAGAATCAGTTTATAGAAATATTAGACTCCCTAATTAATTAACAAAGTGCTTTCATGGTATTTTTTAATTAAAAACAAACCAATTTTAGTCTTTAGTGTCAGACAGATTTTGATCTTACCCGATGTTTTCACTGCGTCACTTTCATGGAGGCAGATTAAAATAAATTCAGAAAAATTACTTTTAAATCAAAACAGCCCATAAAGGAAATCCTAAAGAGACAATATGTAGAGCACCGTTTGTTGACGATCGGCACATCCCAACACTAATAAATTAGTCGAACATGTTTAATAAAATGTAAATGGTTTTAAGTGCAAAAGTAAACATAAGACGGAGAGAAGTAAATGCAAGGTAAATATGACATGAATGTAAAGACAAGATAAATAAAGCGTAAATGCGGAATGAATTAAAGACCTGCTCCAAACAAAGACTTGAATCTGTTACAATGAAAATAAACTTGACTTGAAAGTAAAATTGTGACATGATTAAATCTCATATCTACTATGAACCAACTCGTTTACAACCATGGTGCGATAATCCATCGATGTGACGAATCATCACTTTTACAAAGTAAGTTTATGCATAATGTTGCAACTAAGAGTGGATCATCCAAATGAGACAATCTAAGGTCTATTTATAGGAAACAAAAACCTTGGGAAGTACAAAACTACACTTCCTCCACTAATGGAGTTGGTTTCAACTGCCTGGAAAAAACAAATGGTGGCGGGCGCCATATAGGATTGGCGGGCGCCATCTTCCAATTGTGGGGTAGTGGGTTGGATTTTGCAACTTCCAATAACTATTTCACCGTTTTCAAACATGGTGGGAACCATGTTTTATTGGAGGATGCCAAGAGTCCATTTTTCATGATGTAGATCTCTGTGTTAGATTTCTAACACTTCGAATGGGGTGTTATTCGGATTTACGGATCAAAAGTTATGGCCAAAATCGCCGGACAATACCACAAGGGAAAAACAACATATTTTTATTGCACTAAGACTGCAATAGACTATAATCCTATCATGTGAGTTTTTCCTTGTATTTCTTGGACTTTTCCTTCTCTTTTCTCATTTTTGGATTTCTCCATAGCGAACGCCACGTTGAACACCTTGTGTGCAAATTGCTCCATTTCTTCTGTTTTTCGCCTGTTTTGCTTCGTTTCTTTGCGGAAGGCTCTCAAACTGCTAAATAAATGAAAACAAGCAAAGCACCAACATAATAGAGAAAATCTAAACTAAAACAAAGGTAAAACATGTCCAAATCGAGTCAAATAAATGGTGTAATTTTGTGCTATCAAAACTCAGGTATACATACCACAATGATTATCTTTTGTAATTGTGGTGAAATGTTAATTATTTTCATGATAAATTGTTGTTGCTGGGTTTCGAATCCATTACCTAAATATATACCACAACAGTTGAATTAGATAATCGTTGTGATAGAAAGCGCGCTACTTGACTTATAATTACGGTCTCTCGACAGTGGTGGAAAACATCATACATACAACCATCTCTTACCTCACAACGATTGGTCAGACGTTGTGGTATCCCTTTCCAACCGTTGTGATATGACTTTTACGTAGTAGTGTAATGACGTCATTCTTTTTATTTTATTTTTAATTTAAATATTAGTTTACCTATTCTTTCAGTTAGACTACCAACCGAGGGGAAATGTTACCTAATTTTGTCTACAAAAGCATTTTTTCATACAGTTTTTCCCTAACTTTAAACCTTAACTCATCTGCTGCCGGTCCAAACTCTAAAATATCATTCTCTGGGATCGATCGCAAGGCAGAAAAATATTTTAAAAGGTTTCTCAATAAGTTAGAACGTCTTTCAAGGTTGTTTGTTGTTGTTGTTATGTCAATGCATTGAAGAAATTAATTTTACCAATCTTGAACAGAACATTTTTGTGCTCTTGCAATCAATCTCATAGAATGACGTTGTTGTTGTTGATTGCATCTCTTGCAATCCATTGATATATTTGAGCGAATAATTTCTCAATATTGTCATCCAAGACAAAAATTCAATAATTTAATTCTTTCTTTAGCTTACGACATTGAGAAATCTATTTCTAATCATACTGAAAAGACATTGCAATTCAAAAAGAAAATGGTAGATGTTAAAAAGTTGTAAGTAATATTTCTTTCAGTTCATCATTTTCTTTTTGAATCTGCAATATAAATAATTTATTCTCTCGAATGGACCGACAACTGGAAAAAAATCCTTATTTTATTTTATTTTTCATTTAAAATAAATAAATGATCTATTACCTCACTGTTCAATTTGAATATCAATTGTTTTTAGATACACCCCTTCAATCGAAGTCGAAAATGAGAATTTCAACAAAATACTACCGTTGGTCCGCGTTGTGAATCAAAGATCTAAGTCTGAACACTTACTATCATCAAATAAATTAAAAGTTGATGTTGTTGAATTCAACATAGTTGTTGCTATAATAGTTGATTGTGAAGAGATTTTGGTCATATTCACATCTTGTACTAAGACTAGTGCAATAATCCGATATTGTATTTAAATGTAGTCTTTTAACTGTTTTGTTTTGACCCTCCTTGTTTAGAGTTAGAATAGATATTTCCTTTAATACTGTTTTTCATTATTAAAAAAACAATTGCAGCAGTTATATTAGTAAAAGTAAATTCTTCATAAAAATCGAAAGAATATATATATATTCTACGGTAAAGGAAAAGAACAGATGAATTAAATACAAAAAAAATTGGTGATCATTACAAAAAGAGAATTTAAGCAAAATAAAAAAGAATCAGACCAAAACATCAAGATTGGGAGCCATTTTTCCAAACAATAACTTCAAATCATTCTCCAACGGTGTCAAGTTCAAGTCCAAGCACATAACTCTAGAACTACTCAATCTCTTCAGAACTGGTAACTTCACAACCTTTTCTATTGAAGAAAACTCTTGAACGTCGATCATAGCTTTATGCCTTCTCATGTGTCCACCTAGTGCTTGCCCCAGAGAAAACACTTGTCCACAAATGGAACATTCATGCATTTTAGGTGTTGCGTTTGTTTTCATGAATTCACCACCTTCTAGTTTTGATCTTTTATGGCTTGCACTGTGCCCACCTAGTGCTTGAAAGGATGAGAATTTTTTGTTGCATGTTTTGCACTCATATTCTACTGCTCCAAAACTTTTTTGCTGTGGTTTATTCATTTGTTGTTGTTGAGGAAAAGAAAGCATCATTAAACAATTTGCTAAATTTATGTTTTCTAAACCTTCAACATCTCTTTGTCTCTTCATGGCTACGTACGTTAAATTTACAAAAATTGAAGCACGAAGGGTAAAGAATTTAGGAATGATATTGGGATTAGTTGCTGAGTAACATTTGATTGTGGAGGTTTATATTTATAAGACATTCCTAGAACAAAGTCAATGAGTTTGACTGATATATTAATTCAACTATTTATGTTTCTTATTTAGAATATATATGATATTTTTATAAAATCTAGAATATTGTTATTATTATATTTTTATATGGACGGTAGAACTTTAACTTTCAACGTCAAGCAGCGGAAAAGTGAGTTTCGAACTTCCACTTTAGGTTTGAGTTAGACTAGTCGTCTAGAAAGATTCAAATGTAATGACATAAATACCCTCAATGTTAACGTAAATTCTTGTTCAATACGGAAATAGATTAGGGGTATCTCTTTTGGGTAATTTTTTAGAGTGTTTAGGTCACGTGACGTTTACACTTACTCACGTTTGATATCGTTTGTTATGTTACTGTTGTTTTGTTTGTGTGAGCTACCAACAGAACCGGTCGTGGATAGCTAGCTACTACCAAGTTGGTTGTTCTTTTTTGAAAGTTATTCGTTTCTAGTAATTTTAATTAACACGAGTATTTTTATTATTAAATGATAATTTTAACAAAAGCTTCAGGATGGACTGCGTGTGTTGACAAATACTAATTTGGTGTACAACAAATAATCAAGTCATGGATACTAATAATATTAATTGAAATAAGAAATAATTCAAGTTGAGTAATTTAAGTTTAAGTTAATTATGATTTGTTAGTTTATTTAGTATACAAGTTAGTTATAAATAAATAGACATAGTTTGTAATTCAGTTTGTACAATTTAATAATATAATCATTATTATTTTTATCTTATCTTTCTCTTTTCACTAAAAATGTCACACGCACTAACAAATTAGTATTTAAAGCTCTGATTAGATTCTTTATCGTGTTTTCAAGAATCACACGTCAAAGATCGTGTTTTCAGGAAACGTGAATCACAACCACTACACAGATGAATGGTACAAACGGTATTCTGAATTCTCTTCCAATTCTTGACGGCAAAAATTGGATCCAATCGAGAAAACAGATGCAGTCCTCGTTCGACTTCTATGAAATCCTAGAAGTGGTTACCAATGGCGTCCCTGAGCTTGTCGAAAATGCAACCGATGCTTAGAAAGTCGCGTATAAGAATGCAAAGAAGAAAGATTGCAAGGTTGCGTATTGCATTCAATCGGCGATTGATATGACGAATTTTGACAGAATCTCATGCTGAAACGACGAAGGAGGCATTGAGATATTCTTGTCAAATACTATGAAGGAGGTGAGAAAGTCAAGGTTGTCAAGTTGCAAACCTTGCGACGACAATATAAATTGTTGTCGATGAGAGGCGAAAAGATTGCAGGCTATGTGTCAAAGATACACAAACTCATACGTCTCATGAAGGGTTGTGGTGAAACCCTAACTGATGAAATGATACTTGAGAAGGTAATGTGTATGTTGACATCTCATTTTGATCATGTTACCGTAGCTATTCAAGAGTCCAACAATCTTGAAACCCTAAAATGATAGATGTGAAGTAAGCATTTCTGAATAGACCCTTAGACGAAGAGGTATATGTCACATAACCTCTTGTGTTTGTGATTCAAAAGGAAGCGAGTAACGTGTATAATTTGCACAAAGCACTATATGGCCTCAAAAAGGCACCTAAGGCATGGAACAAGAAGATCGACTCATACTTTGTCGAATTTGGATTCGCCAAATGCAAATCTGAGTATGATGTCTATGTTCAGGTTTTGGCACAAAATATAACAATCATCTGCTTATGTGATAATGACTTGCTGGTAACTGGAAATGGCTTGGAGAACCTATCGAAGTTCAAAGAGCTGATAATGAGGCAATTTGAAATGTCGTATCTGGAAAAATTAGCATAGAATTTCAAATGTCGAAGCAAGGATGAAGGTGCGAGAAACACAATAAAGGGGGGTTTGAATTGGGTTGCATCAATTTAATCTTTTTGCAACTCAACCACAAAGATAACAAGTGAATAAATAAAGGATGAACACAATTATTTTTATCCTAGTTCATTGTCAACTAAGTTACTCCAGTCCGCCTCGCAAGGTGATTTTCCTTATACACAAGGACTTAATCCACTATAAAAAATCAGATTACTGACAACCACAATAAGTCTGATCAACCTTATTGGAACCCCTAATAAGTCTGTCGATCCTTATTGCAAATGCACTATGACCGCATCCAAAGTCTTCTTGAGAATCCAGCCTACACAGAGTCTCTCAAGGAACATATCAACAACATTTGATTACAAAATCCGTATACAAAGATGCTTCTACACAAACATATTACACAATGTTTAAGTACAACAACACCAAAGTGTTGATAGCAAGATACGAACAAAAGCTCCTTGCTTATTCACAAAACTATACAAAGAATTACTCTACAGAGTTTGTGCATCAGTTTGGTGTAGTTTTGTTGATCTGATTTGTTGATTTCAAATTCTTCCAAGTCTTCTTTTTATAGTTTAAAAAGATATTTGTTGGAGGGTAGAATAGGAAACACAAATACATATGTTTTGTTCCCAACCGTCATGGTGAGACTGGTAGACAGTAGTACAAAAAGGTGTGTCCATGTGCCACTCTAGAGAGTAGAGGTCACATTGTACTTTTGTACTTTTATGCTCACCATCACACGCAATCCCTTAGTCTTGATCTTTGTCTTCTATATCTTCAAAGGCTTCTGATTTGTTTGCTGATGAAGCATGTTATAGAAGGATCAAAACTATGTATCTTCAGAACCTAAGTCTTTAAGCCTTTCAAGTCTTGTTCCGAGAACCCTTGCCTTCAGAGTATTTAGCACTTGGTCTTCATAATGTCTTCAGATCTTCAGAACTTGTTCAACATAACCTTTGTCTTCAGCATCTTCAGAATTTGGAACAATCAGAAGTAAAGCTTTACAAGGCCTCCAAAGCATCCTTGCATAAGTCATGATCAGAAGCTCTTTTACTAACATTCCTTAGAACCATTTTCTAAGAAGCATTCCATAACCTTAACTTAACTTGTAACAACCATAGGTATTCTTCTAGAGTGTTGAGTTCAGATCTTGATGATGACACACGCCTTCTTACTAGAGTCAGAACCTGTTTAGAAAAAGCTACACACTAGATAGAAAACATTAGAGTACACAATTATTCTATAAGATAACATGTAAAGTTATCATCAAAACTTAAGGCCAAATGCAGAACCAATCTTGTTCTTACAAATTAATGGTGCTACATCAAATGAAGTATATCAAAGAGATACTCAAGAGATCCATGAAGGATGATTCGACTCCAGCATCTTCGTCTGTCGAACCAAATTTGAAATTGGAGAAGCATGGAGAGGATGACAAAGTCGATGTAACTTTGTTTAAACAAATAGTTGGATCTCTGAGATATATGTGTAACAGTTGAACTAATATAGGTTTCGTAGTCGGATTAGTGAGCAGATACATGAGTGAACCAAGGGTGTCACACATGAAGGCTGCAAGAAGAATCCTGAGATACTTAAAAGGATCGATAAAATGTGGAATTCTATTTTGACAAGATTCTGAAAGCATTGAAGATATGGTTACTTGTTATTCAGATGTTGATTGGTGTAAAGATAAGGAAGATCTAAGAAGCACAACTGGTTTTTCTTTCAAGTCTTTAGTGCCTTAATCTCATGGTGCTCGAGAAATCAACCTGTGGTGGCCTTGTCATCGTGTGAGGTATTTCAAATTTTCTTCTTGGTCTAAAGATACTTGGGTCATGCTTTGGATCTGAGCCCTCAACTCTTCCTCTAGTACTTTCTTTTCCTGCACAGCTTTTTCATACCAACTATTTAACTTTCCGGTTTCATTGGCACCATCTTCCAGCCTCTGATTATGGGAATCCATATTAAAAGTAGCACTTAACATCCCTTCGGTTGAACGCTTCCTTTTAAAACTTTCCTTTTCAAATTATTCATATTCCTTTTGAATCTATTGATCTTTTGATTCGAGTATGTGCTGCATTTGTCTTTTCTCTTTAGTCAAGTTAAGGAGATTGAGCTCTAGCTCTTCCTTCTCCCTCTAAGCCTGGTTCAGTTCTTTTTTCAGATCATCTACCTCTTCTAAAGACATAGGAGGAGTGACTGGGACCTCTTGCTTATATTCAGGATCTATATCAAAAGGAGGTTTGATAATTTACACCCTATTTAGAACCCATTGCGTGTAAGGTTCTTTGGCCACTGCATTTTTCATTTATGTTTTTCTTTTGTTAACCCTACTCCATGCCCGGATGATTTTGTTGAGTAGCTCTCAGTCATTTCTACCCATGTCATGAATGATCAATTGATGGAGTTGCTCATCCGAAGGTTTGTCTTCCAGAGGATACCTGAGTTGTCGTAGGGTCGGTGTGGGATTGTAATTGATGTAGCCTTGTGACCCGATTAGTGGGACATTAGGAAAATCCCCACAACTATAGAAAATATCACTGATATCTAACTTCCTGGCATACCAAAACACAGAGCTAGCAGTGAGAGATCTTAACTTCTAAGGTCATTCATACCTTGTCAGATTCGGAACCAAGTAACTTTCCTTGTAAAGGTGAGTCATGAACCAAGAGTATAGTAATGGAATACAGCAGTTTAGGGTACCTCTTTTCTTCTCGTACTGTGTATGAATGGCGTAGTAGATATCAGCAAGCAAAGCTGGAGTGGGATTTGTATTGAAAGTTTTTGTACCCCAAAACACACTGATGGCTGCATGGTCAATATAATCTATAGTGCGCGGAAATAAGACAACACCAAATATAAGCATCCCAAGACAGTCAACACAAGATTCCCATTCTTTGTTATTTGCCAAATCAAGAGCTTTACTCTCCAGATAACACCTTTTAATCCCTCACACTTCTCCTTATTTCTTATAATTAAGAGCAAACTCAAGATAAGGGATTCTCAAACATTCGGCCAGTATTTTAATATCAATGGTTTG